GCCGCGCGATGGCGGCCGCATCGTCCTCGTTCCCGGGGAACACCTCCATGACGTACAGGTTGCCACCGCCGGCCAGTGAGACTTGTTTGGGGGGGGTGCCACCAGAAAGCGGGCTTGAAGCTCTCGCCTTACCAACGAGCCGACTGCGTTCTTGACAAATCCGATCGGGTCTTCATAATCTGGAGTAAAAGGATTCGGACCTCGTGCTTGGCCGTGGCCATGCTCGGCAGGATCCGGAGCGATTGCGAGATGTCGTCGTAGAGGATGGCCCCGGCGCCGCTCGTGCGGGCCCCGCAACCGCAGCTAATGGTGAAGCTGGTTTCCGCGGCGCCGACGATCGTGCCGTTGCTGGCGCTGAGCAGTTGAAGTCCATGTTGGCGTTGGGGGTGTGGAAGGTGTCAGCACCCCTGGCCCACATGGCAGTGACGGCCAGCGCTCGCCTATGCTTCCCAGGCCGGTGCGGGCTCGCAAGGCCAACAGGAGAGTAGTTGGGCCCGAGTGGGTGTAAGCTGGCCCAGCCTAGGCTACCACCTACTTAACCACTCGCTCACGCCCTCGCCAGCTATCCAGTGGATCACGGCACGAAACCGGCGGCGGCTCTCTCCCCTTCCTCTCTATTCCTCTTGTATGAACCCTAGTTCGTCTGAGATTGCTTGTAATCGCCATTATCTTGTACCCTGAGAGAATCCTACTAGTTAATACATCAATCCCCCATCCTAGCTCCTAACATCTGGTATCAGAGACATCCACCACCTCTTCCCTCGCGCGATCTGGCACAATTCATCGAGACTCGCCGTCTTCACCAAGCACGGATCCAAATCGAGGCCATGGATCCGACCATGAAGGAGTACATGGAGAAGATCACGACCTCCATGGATGAGTTTCGCCTGGAGTTGCGCGGCAACACGACGGCAATCCACGCGCATACCGCCAAGCTGGATGATCTGACAGCCTGGCGGCCCGATCTGGAGCGCCGCGTCGACCTCCTCGCCGATGCCGTGGCGGATCTGCAGCAAGGGCGGCTGCCTGCGGCGGCAGCGCCTGGTGTGGCGACCAAGGAGATTAGAGCCCCCGATTCCAAGCTGGGTACGGGGACTGCGGCGATCTCGCAGCCACATGGGTCAGCGGACCACGGCGACGCATTTCTTCACCGGGAGCCGGTGCTGGCCACCCCGCCAGCGCCCCTCCCGGGCACTGGTCGGTATCCCCTTCAGTCCCCTGGTCCTATCACTTCTCCCTTTTCGCACGCGAGTCAACTGCTCACTGGGTTGGGGCAATCACATCCTTCTGTAGTATTTCCACAATTCGCCGGTGAAAACCCAAAGTTGTGGAAAACGTTATGCGAACATTACTTCAACATGTTTGGCTTTCATTCTGCGTTTTGGGTGCCCATGGCTGCACTCAATTTCTCTGGCACTGCATGCATTTGGTTGCAATCGGTTCAGAACAAGTTGTCTGACTTCGATTGGGAATCGTTTGCTGCATTGCTATGCACGCGATTCGGTCGGGATAGGCATCAACACCTGATTAGGCAGTTTTATACAATCCGCCAAACCTCTTCAGTTGCTGAATACATCAAGCGTTTTGAATCAATTATGAATCACTTGGTTTCTTATGCCGACAACACTCATCCTTATTTTTACTTGACTCTTTTTGTCGAGGGACTCCAAGCGGACATTCGTGCGGTGGTTCTGGTGCAGCAACCGCCTGATCTAGATATGGCGTGCTCACTCGCCTTGCTCCAGGAGGAGGTCGTGGGCTGCACTTATTCTGCAGCGCCACCGACGCCACCACCGCGTGCGCTGGACATGGGGTCACATCCAGGCGGGGCGCTTCCCCTGCCGCTCCCTCCGCCACGCATGACACCGACACCAGCGGCGCCCGCAGCTGCGGATCGTCGCGGACTCGACGGCGCACGGGCAGATAGTTCCAAGGTCAAGGCGCTCCATGAGTACCGTCGTGCGCGCGAACTCTGCTTCAAGTGCGGCGAGCGGTGGGGGCAGGATCACACTTGCCCTACCAATGTACAACTCCATGTGGTCGAGGAGCTCCCGGAACTTTTCGGCATTGACCCTGTCAGCGACAACAAGCAGCAACCACCCCCCGAGATGGCGATGGCTATTTCCAAGCATGCTCTAACAGGCGAAACTTCCTCGCATGAATTTCAAGTCCATGCGTGGCTCCAAGGCCACAAAATCCTCATGCTGGTGGACTCGGGCAGTTCCACATCCTTCATCGATGCTCGGCTGGCTGCTAAGTTGGAAGGGGCTGTTCCATTGGCTCGCCCAGGACGGGTCAAGGTTGCGGGCGGAGGCGAGCTACAATGCAGTGCATCCATTCCTCAGTGCAAGTGGTTCTCTCAGGGGCATGAGTTTGTGACTGACATGAAAGTCCTCTCACTAGGCACTTACAATGCGATCCTCGGAATGGATTGGTTGGAACAAAACAGCCCCATGACTGTTGACTGGAAAGGCAAACATATCACAATTCCGTCATCTTCCGAAGTGGTGCATATCCACGGCCATCCTTCAACCTCCTCATGCCCTGTCATCAACAGTCTACAGTTAGACAGTCTCTGTTGTTAGGGGGCAGTTTCACACATGGTGAGATTGTACCAAGTTGCTTTGGGAGACGGTGAAGAGCAAGATGTCACTCCAGAATGCATGCAGGCTGTACTTGATCAGTATCAGGATGTTTTCGGAGAACCAGAAGGTCTTCCCCCAAAGCTAGTTGTGATCATCATATACCCTTGATGCCAGGGGCACAGCCTATGAATATTCGTCTATACCGGCACAAGCCTGAGCATAAGACAGAAATAGAGAAGCAGGTGGCTGAACTGCTCAGGCAGGGGATCATCAGGCAAAGTGCCAGTCCTTTCGCATCGCTGGCCATCTTGGTAAATAAGAAGGATGGAACGTGGCGCCTCTGTATTGACTATTGCCAACTCAATGCAATGACCACTGTACCCAAGTTCCCAGTTCCAGTTATTGAAGAGTTGCTCGATGAACTCCATGGTGCAGTATGGTTCTCGAAACTTGATCTCCGGGCAGGTTACTATTAGATCAGGATTGCTGAAGGTGATGAGTATAAAACTGCTTTCCAAACTCACTCGGGGCATTTTGAGTTCCTGGTGCTTTCTATGGGATTAGCAGGAGGACCATCCACCTTCAATGGTGCAATGATTGAGACTTTACATCCGGCGCTCCGCAAATTTGTGCTCCTCTTCTTTGATGATATTTTAATCTTCAGTCGCACTCTGGAGGATCATAAGTCTCACCTGGCGCAAGTTCTTCAGCTGCTGCGGCGCGACCAATGGAAGCTTAAAGCCTCCAAGTGTTGTTTTGGCCAGCAGCGACTATCGTATCTTGGGCATATTATCAGTTCGTTAGGAGTCGCCACGGACCCCAGCAAGGTTGCAGCAGTGTCTCAATGGCCCACACCATCAGATACTAAGGAAGTACGCCGGTTCCTTGGGCTTGCTGGTTATTATCGCTGCTTCATGCGCCTTTTTGGAATCATAGCACGACCTTTGTTTAACCTGCTCAAGAAGGGAGTCCCATTTGTATGGACCCAGGCAACAGAGGAATCTTTCCAGCTCCTTAAACAAGGGCTAGTCACAGCACCGGTGCTTGTTTTCTCAGCCATTCATTGTCGAGACAGATGCTTGTGATCTAGGTGTCGAGGCAATTCTGCAGCAACAAGGTCATCCTATCGCGTATATGAGCAAGGCGTTGTGCCCCAAATACTAGGGACTATCCACTTATGAAAAAGAATACCTGGCGGTGGTAGTGGAAGTGGACCAGTGGCGTCCTTATCTCCAGCATAACGAGTTTGTGATTCAAACGGATCAGCGGAGTCTAACTCACCTTGAGGAGCAAAGATTGACCACCCCTTGGCAGCAAAAATCTTTCACTAAGCTCCCAGGGCTCCGTTACACAATCAGATACAAGAAGGGTGCAGAAAATGGAGGAGCGGATGCTTTGTGGCGAGCCACACACACTGACCAACTGCATACGGTCTCATCTTGCACCCCTAGTTGGATGGAGGATATCATCAGCAGCTATAATGCTAATCCACAGGCACAAAAGCTGCTCGAGCAACTCGCTATCAGGGCAGATCCTAAAGGGCGATTTTCGTTGGAAAAAGGCATTCTTCGGTTCAGAGGGCGAATTTGGCTCGGTGTCGTGACTGCTATGCAGCAGCAGGTTATTGTCGCGTTCCACGACACACCGATCGGGGGGCATTCTGGATTCCCAGTCACGTGGCATCGTGTGCGTCGACTGTTCTCCTGGCCCAAGATGAAGACTCACATACAACACTATGTCAAGTGCTGTCCAACCTGTCAACAGGCAAAACCAGATCGTGCCGCTTACCCAAGGCTGCTCGAACCTTTACCTGTACCCAAGGAATCCTGGGAAATGATCAGTATGGATTTTGTTGATGGGCTACCATCTTCCGGGGGAGTGAACTGCATCTTGGTCATTGTTGACAAACTGGCAAAATTTACCCACTTTCTTCCATTGGCTCACCCATATACAGCTTCAAAGGTCGCCCTCCTCTACATGAATCAAGTGTACAGGTTGCATGGATTCCCAGGCTCAATCATCTCTAACCGTGACCCGGTGTTTACCAGTCACTTCTGGCAGGAGCTATTCAAGTATGCTGGCACTGGCCTTCGAATGAGTTCCGCCAATCATCCACAAACCAACGGGCAAACCGAGCGTGTTAACCAATGCCTGGAAACATTTCTTCGGTGCTTCACCCAGGCCTGCCCTCGTTGCTGGAGTTTCTGGATTCCTCTTGCCCAGTTCTGGTACAATTCTTCTTATCACTCATCCATTGGAATGTCTTCTTTCCGATCAATGTACGGGCATGAGCCACGTTAGTGGGGAATCACGGCAACGAACACTTGTTCAGTACCAGCGCTGCGCTCTTGGTTGGATGAACGAGCAGTGGTGCAGGACCTGCTACAGCAGCATCTGAACCAAGCTCGGCAAGTTATGAAGCAGCAAGCTGACAAGAAGCATTCGTTCCGGGTGTTTGAAGTGGGCGATCTTGTCTACTTGAAGCTACAGCCGTATATTCAGACTTCTGTCGCCCCGCGGGCTTGTCACAAGCTCTCCTTTCGGTTCTTCGGCCCTTACAAGATCATCGCTCGAGTGAATGATGTTGCCTACAAGCTGCTTCTGCCGAAGCATGCACAAGTGCACCCGGTCTTTCATGTGTCACAACTCCGAAAGGCTCTTGTTCCAGGTATGGAGGTTTCTGAAGATCTTCCTGTTCATTCTAACATTCCTGTTGTACCTGTGAAGATGCTCGAGCAGCGCTGGCGACGTCGAAGGGGGGCCATGGTGGAGCAAGTCCTTGTTCGTTGGTCCAACCCAGCAGTGGTGCCTGATTCATGGGAGGACCATGCAGCGCTCCAAGCTCGATTCCCAGCGGCTGAGGCTTGGGGGCAAGCCTCGACACAAGAAAGGGGGGATGTCAGCACCCCTGGCCCACATGGCAGTGACGACCAGCGCTCGCCTATGCTTCCCAGGCCGGTGCGGGCTCGCAAGGCCAACATGAGAGTAGTTGGGCCCGAGTGGGTGTAAGCTGGCCCAGCCCAGGCTACCACCTACTTAACTACTCGCTCACGCCCTCGCCGGCTATCCAATGGATCACGGCATGAAACCGGCGGCGGCTCTCTCCCCTTCCTCTCTGTTCCTCTTGTATGAACCCTAGTTCGTCTAAGATTGCTTGTAATCGCCATTATCTTGTACTCTGAGAGAATCCTACCAGTTAATACATCGATCCCCCATCCTAGCTCCTAACAGAAGGTCATGGTGGTGGGAGGCAGGCGAGCCTTCTCCACCGCCGCCGCCGTTGCGCGGTGTGGTGAGCCATCGGGCAAGAAGAAGCGCGACGGGTTGATGTGGTGAAGCGTGTACGTGTACGGGGGGCCTGTGAAGCTGTGGAGCAGCAAGTAGAGAAATCGCCGGTTCATCGCCGACGGTGAAATCCCGATGGGTCAAAACTGCTCTTCCGTCCCGGCCGTGTTAGGATTTGTTAACGAGCAATGCTAGACGTACGGGAAGTTACATGGAGTTTACAGGGCTGATGGGCT